CAGATTTATGTTTTCAAAAGGTAAGCCTGGCAACAGATGGAAGACAGTAAGAGGAGAAAGAGGAAATAGCCCAAGGATTTGAAATTGTGTGACTGAGTAGATTTTGCTGCCATTAAATGAGACAGGGACGTGAGGGACATCAGGAACTAGCACCCAAGGCTGCACAGCAGAGGGCAGGCTGCCAGGGATCCAGGCGGTGAGGGAGGAAAGAACAACAGTGCTGTTCTGACCACGGTGAGGGTCCCTGCAGAAAACGAGGGGCATACTAGGGAAAGGTACAAAGTTATTTCATGTAAGGACTATACAGTGTGTGCATAGGACTAAGGAAATGAGGTGATAAGCCACAGTGGAAAACGGTCAACACCTTTCAACTTAAAGGGGCACAGGAAGGAGGCAGGTGAAAGCTCGAGTTCGACGGGGAAGCTGATGGAGGCCATCACCACAGGAACAGAGAAACACCCCAGCCTCTCCCACCTTCCATCCGCACATCTCCTGCTGTTGCTTCCCAATGACCTAAATCAAGCAGAAACTAGAGGCTGAGGGGTTCAGGATGAGGCAGGTGCTAGGGGCCCAATTCTCTAGAGCACAGAGAAAACAGAAAGGGTAGAGGAGTCTGGGGATGGGGGGTGGGCAAAGGATAAACAGCACAGCCCTTTCCACTCGGTAGCCTGTTCTTGTGTCCTTGCAACTACATGTCAGGGGTGTTTGTGCCCACAAGTGACCTAATGTAAAGGGCGAGCAGGGCAGGATGTGTGCGTGTGTGAGAGAGAGGCTGTCGGGGAGGGGAAGAGAGCATGAGAGGGCAGGCTACTCACCTGTTCCTCTTTGGTCCGCAGGAGATTCCTATCGAGCTATCACAGAGCTCTCCCTGGAGCAGGAGCAGCGTCTCAGGAACAACCTCATCTGAGGCCATCACTGCACACTTCCGGCTGCTGCTGCCCACACACCAGATACCTCAGCTTACTGGAGCCATGCCCTTCACAGGGCCCTAACTCAGAGGGAAAGGGGCCAGTGCCAAGTGGCACCAAGAACTTCTCAGGAAGCCCTTCAATGGCAAGATCACCAAACCAAAATGGTACTGCTCCCTCAGGAGGACTCTGGGCCTGTCCCCTAAGGGCCTTTGGTCTACGGTCTGTGGCCTCTAGGCTTTGTTCACATGAGCTGCTCTTCCACAAGGAGACCCCAGAGTTCCTGGCTCAGGAGCAACCAGTTCCTTAGAGAGGGACTGTGGTGCTTTGCAAATGTCTTGGGAGTAGAGGACAAAGGACAAAAGTACAGGGGAGGCAGGATTAGCTCTGCTAGAAGCTCAAAGCAGCGCAACTTGTGTCAAAGTCACAACTAGCAGAGAAGTTGATGGAGTCCCTTGTTTGATCTGTGCTCATTTAGAACTCACCCGTCATTCTAAGAGTCTCCTCCAGTGCCTTTAGCTTTATCCTACTGCACATATGGGTGTTTCTAATATCCTGGAAGCTTAGGCCTCAGGCATCCCCTTATCTCCTGATGGGCCACCACCACCAATCACAGTGATTGAGAAGGGGCAGGCCACACAGGGTCCTCCTGCAGAGCAGCAAGAGAAGTCCAAGCGGAAAGGCTGCTGTGATAACATGGACTCTGGCCCCGGCCAGGGTCTCTGACAAGGAACAAATACGCCATACACCTGGCAGGCAATCCAATCTCCCTCAAGGTCACTGTGTATCTCAGGACTGGCCTAAGTTTCAGGTCTCAACCAAGTTTCCGGAGTGAACTTTGCGCGGAATAAATCAGACACACCTAAGATGATCCTTACAGGTCTGATGCACTAATGCCAATCAAGTTGCTCCGTACAGACAGCTACCAGACAAGACTGGCTACGGCTCTGCGGTTCCCAGCCCACGAAATCTCACCCCTTCCGCTCTTGCTGAGCTGCTGACTAGCACGAGTGGGGCACGCATACTACTTACAACAGCCCCATTACACTTCTCTGATATTAGCCTTTGATATTAGCAGATTGTAGTCTGCTTCCCAGTCCCCTCCCCAGGCTCAGGGCTGAAACACGGGTTGGATAGTTTAAGGGACGAAAGGGAGGAGGCAAGAAGGAAAAGTCCAAGGATTGTAAACTTTTATCTTAAATTTTTTTTTTTTAATGTTTTATTTTATTTCTAGGAGAGAGAGACAGCATGAGCAGGGGAGGGTCAGAGAGAGAGGGAGTCACAGACTCTGAAACAGGCTCCAGGCTCTGAGCTGGCAGTCAGCACAGAGCCCCACGCTGGGCTCGAACCCACGAACCGCGAGATCATGACCTAAGCGAAAGTCGGATGCTTAACCGACTAAGCCACCCAGGTGCCCCAGGATTGTAAACTTTTATAATGAGCCTGCAAAGCCGAAACGAACAGTAGCAGATGGGGCAGATTTACAACAGTACTCCGCTCACCACAGTGCGCAAGCTGTCCCCCTTCCTTAAGGAGTAAAAAGGGACATGATCTGGAGGTATCCTCTCTGAATACAAAGAAGTGCTTTCTTCCTCCTCCTCTTCTACCTTCCCTACTCCTCATCGGGCAAAGGGAGCATTATATCTTGGCGTGGCAGTTTAGGTAAACAAGGGAAGGACTGATTTCCTGTTGGTCCCAGCAAACCTCTCCCAAACAGTAACAACATTATACTTGCACATGCAGCTAATGGTCTGTGAAAGAATGTGCAGCTCGTGGGGGAGCGTGTGGTGGCTGATGACTAGACTCGGACAGGGAGGTTACCTACCGCTTCTTCCTGCATCCAGTTTCCGAGAGGGCCAGAAAATGTGGGCCCGGCAGCCCGCCACTGGCTCTGGTCTCAGTCTTGCCGCCCACATCACACGCTTGTTAGGTGCAGCCTGTTCCAATTCTTGGAAAAAGCTATACAAGGGCTACGCTGTTACACCACTGACTTGAAAGGGAAGGACGTGGGAAGACTGGTGGCTGGCATGACTTGTAACTAGATGAGGAATGTTAACAGAATACCAACCACCAGATTCCAGACAGAACCAAAAATGTCAGAAGACTTTCACCCCGGCATTCTGGAGTCCGAGAGGCTCAAGTGCTGGGAGCCTCAGCTTACTAATTAGAAGCCTAAATTATTTCTATTCCACCAAGACCTTCACTCTATGGGGAGCATATTAGAACTCAAAGGCGACGTACATTTCTACTACAAATTCCAGGTGACACTGGGATTTAGTCATTTAACATGTATGAAGCAACAAAAACACCTAGTAGAGTGCTTGCAGGATCTTCTGGAATATCTAACGGAGGAGCCAGGGGCGGCTACAGGGTGCTCTCCGGTTGACTCAGCTTGTGACGGCATGGACAGGGCCAAGGATTTGGGTCCCATCTGCACAAGCTCAATGTAGTTCAAGTAGGGCCGTGGCAGTTCTTCTTACCTCCACCCAGCATACATCCGTGGAAAATACAGCTAAAAAGCACATTCTCGGGGCGCCTGGGTGGCTCATCCTCGGGTCACAATCTCATAGTTTATGAGTTCAAGCCTGTGTCAGGCTCTCTGCTGTCAGCACAGAGCCCACTTCGGATCCTCTGTCCCCCTATCTCTCTGCCCCTCCCTCACTTTCGCGTGTTCTCTCCCAAGAAAAGCACATTCTCTACTAATGGTGGAAGTAGAAACACTTCATAGCTTTAGGTACTGGCTAAAAACAAATTCCTTCTCTGGGTCTAATAATAAGGATAAATCTGAACATTAGAGGAGGCTGATCGTTAGCTGAAAAAAGCATATGCTACTAGCCACCTAGCAGACAGCATTAGAACGAGAATAGTACCTTAAAAGCTAGGAGTAATCAAGAAAACTGGGTAATAAACAAGCGGCTCCACGTCACCATTAACAATGCCCTTAAAAGCCAAAATGCTATTAGAAAAGGGAAGACAAGTGATAAGGACAATCACCTTTTTCACTGCCCAAGGTCACTCATAGCCTTGAAGAATCAAAACAAAGGTATACCTCAGAAGCCTACCAGGCAGTATGAAGCCTGGCTACAGTGCTTGCCTTTCCTTTCCAGTGTAGCCATGTTGTTCAGACAGATCTGCCTATCTTCAGGAATTCTGCTCCATGAAGACAGAGAGCACAAGCCCTAGAGCTACAAGTCAGAGAGGTGCATCAGGCCAGGTACTAGGACAGAGGATCAGAGAGGGAGTTATTTAATGCTCCAAGCTTAAAAGTGGGGCCCTGAATAGGAACAAGGGACCCTCTCAGAACTAACCAAGAGAATGAGAAAAACAATGCTGAGGAACTGCAAGAAGACCAGAATAGCAGCAGGGATAGCTGGGTCAGGGCGAAGACCCGAGACCAGTGCCATTTGAGGAACATCTGAACAGAGCTCCCACTCTACCATGTTCTGGGCAGTGCTAATAATCCATCATTGTCATGAGCGCCACATACAAATACAAGGCTGCTGCCCTCAATGAAAGCACAATGGAACATTATTTCTTGCTAGCACAACCCATTAAGGTCTAGCACTGCCATTTCTTCAGTGCAGAACTTCTTTCCAAAAACAAGGAGAATGCAGGCAGGAGATGGATAAAGCCTGAACTGGTGGCTCAGACTTGTCAGTGTCCTTTAGGAAAGTTCTCACTGCCCAGAGGTGTTTGCTTTATTCTGGCAACTCTTCACGGTAATGGATAGTCTGGTGTAGCTCGCCAGGTACCTCAGGCACAGGCGGAGAAGATGATACCGAGAACACACTGTGTGCCAGAAGCCTTCTGCAGAATGTCAGGTGTGACAGAAATGGACGCAGGCACGAGGCTGGGGCGGGCATGTCCAGGGAGGGCACGGAAGGGGAGGGGAACTAGCACATACCAATCCCCAGAGAGGCATTTCTGTAGTATACCCAGGCAGAGAGCCAGATGACCAGCAGTCTGCTCGGCGGGGCTCAATGAAGCCAACAGATCCCTGAACCCACGCACAACTTTATAGGGATGAAGATCCGAGGAGAGCTGTTCTCTAGGTTTTTGTGGGAATGAAAAACTGACAAACAGCAGTGTTAAAGGTCATAAACTGAGCTTTAATGTCTCCCTCTCACAACATGGTAGTGCTGTTTCAGTACTTCCTAGGGCACTGAAGTGGGCAGCCCCGGGCGCCCGGCTCAGTGCACACTCCGGAGCCGGAACACCTACAGCTGCTGCAGCTCACCAGCTCCGGAGTTCTGGAAGTGACAGTGTGGATTCTGTGAGCACCAAGTACTTCAAACACCAAGTACTTCCATCTCTCTACTAATTGTTCCCTCCGCCACCCCTCGGCTCTGTGAGGCCCGAAAGAGCACCCTGCCTTTTCAGGGCCAGAATCTCACATCGTGGCAGGTTTGAATCCTCTGTTTTGTATCTGCTTCAAACATCTTAGACACGCGAGCCACGGCAACAATGGGACTTGCCACGCCCAGAGAACTCTTGGAAGTCACATCCGAGTTGCCACAAGTCAGCTTCCTAGCTGATGGCTCCCTTCTATGCCAAAATAGTAAGGCAGTTCCAAACAACTGCAGTCAGAAGCAAAGACGGACAGGAGTCCATCCTCTTTCTACACCCAGTCAGTGCGCGCCCTGATGGCTTTATCTCTTTCTTTTATTAACACGCACTTCTGCATGTACACAGAACTCTAGAAGGGTCCTCCTAAGACTATGGAAATAATTTCTGAATTCTTAGAACTATCCATTTCCTTGAGTGATGTTCAAACTGCAGACTGGTCTCTGCCTTCCCAGACATCTTCCCGTTGCTTGGCTTCCAGTCGCTTTCTTTCTGTAAGTAAGGACAGTATGAAAAGTGGTAGTACACTCCATATAACCAGTGACTTTCCTTTAGTCCAAATTATAAGCAAACTTTAGTCATGAGACAGGAGGATTTCCTGGTCTTCTCTTACCTGATTCCAAGAGTTAATATCTTTAACTTTCCAAGTGCATTGTAAATGGAAATAATGTTACTCTTTTATATAATAAAAGAGAAATATGGGGGCTAACAGAAATAAAAAGTATATGGAATAAGTCAGAATCTAGCAGGACCAGATTCTAGTCTTGCTGACAATCTATTTATTTTCATTCTATTTCTCATCTGTGTTAGTGCTTCAATATAATTGCCTGTTCTTCCCACTTCACTGATCTTTAAAAATATTTCAATAAGGATGAAGAATAGGTATGAATATTCTTCTGCATTCTTGCTCAAATGGAAATGGTACCACTTGGCTCTAGTCAGATCTCCCTACTACAGTCTTATAGAAAAAAAATTTCAGAGGCAAATCAAATTTCAGTATTTTCAGAGCATTTTCATGGGCCAAAAACCTTCTGGAATACACAATCCCAACACGGAAAAATGACCACATATAATGGAGAGAAATAACTTTCTAAAAACAAAACAAAGAAAAGCAGAAATCTGGGCAATCCATCTTTAATTTTTAACAGAGAAGCTTGGTTTCCATCAAGACCTATGATGATACAGACCACAGATGATGTGGTGACTCAAGCGCTTCATTAGGTGCCACAATACCAGTTCGAATTTCATGGCTAGTCATTTACCATAAAATATAGATGATAAGTCTACCTGCTTCCTCTCAAGGGCTATTATTTCAAATAAAGTCTGTAAAAGATTTTGCAAGTCATGAACCAGGGGAATTACTACAGAAATCAAGGTGAGTTTATAGTTAACACCTGCTATTTTGACATACCTTTCCAAATCAGTAGAATCCCTTACAAAATTCCTTTACTAAATATTTGACTGTACTTTAAAGGCAAAGAACTTGGTCAGGAAGCTGACTGGCATTGGGAAATGTGAGAAAGAGAAATTCACTGCTATTTGGGCACCACCTTGTGGCACTATCTGAATATAACAATAAAGTTATAACAGGCACACACAAAAAAAGAGGGTCAGCAAATTCCAAATTGAAGGCTAATTAATTCAGTGTCTTGTGACTTGGCTTTAAGACAGGTTTCAATTGGGATTGGGATTCTCCAGGGAGACCACACTAAGGATAATTGGCTTGTCTAAAGGATTCCACCGTTTCTTAGGAAAGCACTATGGTTCTGATTCTTATAAAAAGGGTAAAGGTATTAGAAGGGGATCTAAAGGCAAAAGCCACGTTAGACAAAAGCAATCAAAATTGGTTCTGGATTCCTAGAAAACTGAAGAAACCAGAAAAGTGAACTACTAGAACTCACATTTTTCAATAAGCTCAGAAATTTAAATCAGAAAGTCTATCTGAGAAGTATAACAAAAGAAATCCAAGTGTGTAGTAGAAAAATAACTCCCCATAACACACAATTCCAAACTCAAAGCACTTCTGAAAACAAAGTTTTGGGTTTTTTTAAAGTTTAGGGCTAGAATTCACTTGGTAGTAAATATAAACTGAAAAGATAAAAGGCTGCTTATCATCTTACATATGCCATTTAATGGAACAATCATACACTTCGTGACAGAAATATTAACGTCAGTGTGTTTGATTTTGGTGTTATGATATATATATAATAAGATAACCGTATTATCTTTCTAAAACTGAAAAAGTTTAGAATACTGAAACATTTCCCACCCTAGTGTTTTCTAATAAAAGAGTATAGATCTCTACTGCCAAATACATGTAAAGTAATGTATGAGAAAACTGGTGGTAAACTAGTGAAGGCTGGGAGACAGATTGAGAAGCACAAAGGAATAGTAACAATGTGAGGCATAAATTTAGTAATTCAGAACCTGAATACAGAAATGCTTTTTAAAGAAATGAAAGCTTCGAGGGGTTAAGTGACTTGCCTAAGGTTACATAACCAGTGAAAAACGAAAGCTGGAACACAGGCCTTTACTATCTACTGTCCTGACTTCTGAAAATATCTACAAAGAAAAGGGGAAAATGAAAAACAAAAAAAGAGAGAGGAGGGGCACCTGGTGGCTCAGCTGGCTAAGCATCCGACTCTAGATTTCAGCTCAGATCATGATCTCACGGTTGTGAGATTGAGCCCCAAGTCAGGCTTCACACTGGGTGTGAAGCTTGCTTGAGATTCTCTCTCTCCCAGCTTCTCTCTGTTCCTTCCACGCTTGCTCTCAAAAAAAAAGACAGAGAGAGAAAGGAAAGCAGATAATAGCTGAATAGCTGATAGACTGCCTGAAGAGCTCCTCTTAATTTGAGACTGCATGAAAAGAGCTCCAATAACTTTACCTTCAACAGTTAAAAAAAGTAAACTAAGTAAAGAAAAAGGCCAACAAATTGCAGCCATAAAGGCAAGGAACTAAAGGCAGAATAGAAAAAACTGTATGAAATGATTAACCTAAAGTACGCACATAAGCTGGCCCTAGAGACCTTCATTTCCCAGTATACCAAATAAATTGCATAAATGACTATTAAATATGTTGCCTGAATCACCACTTACCATTCAGGGAATGGAAAGGGATGAAGATGAAAAAAGGGCCAATATGGTGTCATTTCAAAAGAAAACAAAGAAAAGGAATGTAAATTAAAACTTTCAAAATCTACTTCTATGCCTTAGAAAATGATGGAGAAAAATCATCACAAAATTCCCTAAAGAGGAATAATCAACATGCAGACTTGAAGTACAAGTCTGGTCAAACTAATCTAATTGCCTTCTTTTATGGACTGACAGACCTGACAGATTAAGGTGAAATAATATAAGTAACCTCTTAATTTTAGCAAGGTTTTAGGTTTTAGGCTTACAACTATTTATATAATCATTATGATACTGGGAAAGATGTAGTTGGGATCACATAAGTGTTAAGAGGGGACATTACACTCTGGAGGGTAGAATGCTCATCAATGTATTAAGGGTCAACACAAAGAACTATGTGCTGTTTATTTAGCAATAGTTGATAAGCTGATCAGTTAATCCTAGGGTTAATTAACATTTTCATCTGATACTGGCCAGTGATATAAGTTTATTAAACAGTAGATGACAGCAAAAATATGGGTAAATGCTGCATCTCAGAGAGAAAGATCACATTAAGATGAAAAGAGAAATGTGGTTAGAAATGAAGGGAATTTCACATTAGGAAAGAAAAGACACCAAGAAAATGCCACACAACCTAGATTATGAGTCCGCAATGTGGCAGACCCGTTGAAGGCAGAATAATGGAGTGCCTGAAAAGAATTTCAAAAGGTAGCAGTTGTAATTAAATTTTTTTATTACAGTTGACTTAAGTATTCTATAGGGATGATTTTACTTTTAAGTTCTTAGTGATTTTAATTAAGCAAACTAGGGGATCAAATCATTGTTTACTTACTCTGCCTTTCAGGCCTGTGACCCAAAAGATGCCTTTTAGAACCAGTCAATTAACCACCTACCCCCAAGAGTAAAACGGAAACAAGAAATAAAATTATAGCAAGCTTTGAAAATGAGAGAGTAGGGGGCGCCTGGGTGGCTTAGTCGGTTAGGCTTCCGACTTTCCCTTGGGTCATGATCTCACGGATCGTGGGTTCGAGCCCCGCGTCGGGCTCTGTGCTGACTGCCAGCTCAGAGCCTGGAGCCTGTTTCAGTCTGTGACTCCCTCTCTCTCTGACCCTTCCCTGCTCACGCTGTCTCTCTCTCTCTCTCCTAAAAATAAATAAATAAATAAATAAAACATTTATTAAAAAAAAAAAAAAAAAAGAAAAGAAAATGAGAGAGTAGCTTATTCTGAGATGTAATGGTATCTTCTATCTCCAATTTTAGATGGGAATCAAGTGTTTTGATAAGTGAAACATGGAGAAACTTTACATATACTCCTGAATCTGGTCTTTAAAATGTAATTTTATTATTTCATGTGAATCACTGGTTTAAAACATGATTAAGTCAAATACAAAGGACCAAGGATGATCTATGCTTTGATTTCCCATTCTTTTTTTTTTTCCTTTACTTTTGAGAGAGAGATAGAGATAGCATGAGCAGGGGAGGGTCAGAGAGAGGGAGACACAGAATCTGAAGCAGGCTCCAGGCTATGAGCTAGCTGTCAGCACAGAGCCTGATGTGGGGCTCGAATCCACGAACTGTGAAATCATGACCTGAGCTGAAGTCGGACGCTTAACCGACTGAGCCACCCAGGCGCCCTGATTTCCCATTCTTAAGTGCAGCTCTGATCTGTTATGCATTCTGTTGGACTGAAAAACATCTCCATGTTCTAAGACTATGAACTAAAAGCTCTTATCCTCCAGATATGCACATGATTTGCTTAAAATGATTTGGGTATTTCTTTTTTCTTGATTCTTCTCAGAATAGCTTTATTTTTGAATCTACTTTTTAATTAAGGACTAAGACATAGACTTCTCATTAGAAGAGTAAGTAAGAAGACCAAAGTAGTGTGAGGGAACTTAGTAGGAAATATTTTAATCTCAAAAGTCACAAATCCCAAACTCATTAATTACAAGGTTTTCATAGGCAGTGCTCAACTCTGGGCTTTATAAAGAAAAACATAAAGGATTTGGAAGAGCTCAAAGTAGAATCATGAATGAGGGGCGCCTGGGTGGCTTAGTCGGTTGAGCGTCCGACTTTCGCTTAGGTCGTGATCTCGCGGTCGTGGGTTCGAGCCCCGCGTGGGGCTCTGTGCTGACTGCCAGCTCAGAGCCTGGAGCCTGTTTCAGTCTGTGACTCCCTCTCTCTCTGACCCTACCCTGCTCACGCTGTCTCTCTCTCTCTCTCCTAGAAATAAATTAAAAAAAAAAAAAAAAAATCATGAATGAAATAAGGTTTATGAAGAAAAAGTGACCATTGTCATTCATGTGTTCAGTCAACAAACATGTACACTGAATATCTTTTTATGAACCAGACACTATGCCAGAAAGTAGAACTCTTCAAGTGGGTGGGTGGGGGAATCCTAGTACCTATAGGATTCCCTAGTATATTTTATAGTACTGTTTATAAAAGTACCTATATCAGGATTGTACACAGATTTCAATTTCCATGCTGAATTCTGATCAATTGGCAACAGTCAAGACAAAACTCACCAAAAAAGAGTGCCATAACTGATTAGCACTGTTTGTCATGGATAATGGATGGGTAGCAGCAGTACACAGTACATAGGTGTCACTCCTGTGTCATTATAATGAACACTAATTTTCTAAGAGTCACATAAATAATAGTATCCTGAATCTGTAAAGCACCTTTCTAAACATTTTTACATGTTACCTTAGGTTGTGGTCAAAAAATTCTCCAGGGTAAGTTAGGCATTAGTTTTGCTTTGTTGGAAACTGGCGCACAGAAAGGTGTAAGAGTTGTGCCCATGGCGACACAGCTAAAGTTAATGGCAAAAACTCTATTACAGCCCAGATTCCCTTATTCCTAAATAATCTGCCTTTGATCTTTAAAAATTAGAATAGAATGGTGTCCACATATACTTCCTATTTCTAAGGAAAAGAGAAGAGGAAATGGCTTAAACTGTTGTACAGATAGAAGTTAGACCTAAGGAAGAGTCTTTTGACAGTGAAAGCTCACCATTAGAACAGGTAACTAAGAAAAAGACTGTCCTATTTCACTTTCTGAAGATCTTAAAAACTCTTTTTTTCTGGGAAAAAGTGTTAATTACTCCAAAAGGCGTTCAAGAGGGATTACAGTATTGTAGAAAGACCATGGGGTTTTAAAAGAAGCCTTGGTTCAAATGCCTCCTCTGAATTTATCAGCGAGGTGACTTTAGGCCAATTACTTAACTTTCCTGGGCCAGCTCTAAACTGGAGACCATATCTTCCATCACAGAGTTATCATAACATATTATAGTGCCTGGAGTTGCCTTCCCATCTTTTAATCACAAAAACCTTGTCGTGCTTTTAATCTTAAAATCTTCAGAACTGAAAATAATCCAATTAAAAGTGGGCAGAAGACATGAACAGATATTTCTCCAAAGAAGACAAATAGATGGCCAAAAGACACATGAAAAGATGCTCAACCATCACTCATCATCAGGAAAATGCAAATCAAAACCACAATAAGATATCACCTCACACCAGTCAGAATGACTAAAATAAAAAACACAAGAAACAAGTACTGACAAAGATATGGAGAAATAGATCCCTCGTGCACTGCTGGTGGGAATGCAAGCTGGTGCAGTCACTGAGCAAAACAGTATGGAGGTTTCTCAAAACATTAAAAATATAACTACCATATGATCCTATAATCGCATAACTGGGTATTTATCCAAAGAATACAAAAATACTAATTTGAAAGAACACATGCACCTCTATGTTTATTGTAGCATTATTTACAACAGCCAAATTATGGAAGCAGCCCAAATATCCACTGATAGATGAATAAAGAAGAGGTCTCACACGCATGCGCGCGCACACGCGCACACGCGCGCACACACACACACACACACATAACACACACACGAGTATTATACAGCCATTAAAAAGAATGAAATCTTGTCATTTTCAGCAACATGAATAGAGCTAGGAGGTGTAATGCTAGGCAAAATCATTACCATATGATTTTTCACTCACATGTGGAATTCAGAAATAAAACAAAGGAACAAAGGAAAAAACCAAGACAAACCAATAAACAAGACTCCTAACTACAGAGAACAAAGTGATGGTTACCGGAGGGGAAGTGGGTGGGAGGGACGTGAAATAGGTGATGCAGATTAAGAGTACATATATCTTCATGAGCACTGAGTGGTTTACAGAATTGCTGAATGACTATACTGTATACCTGAAACTAATTTAACACTGTTAACTATACTGGAATTAAAAAAAAATTCTCAGAACTGAAGTGAGAAGACAAACAATTGTTTGAAAAATTACTTTCTTCTGTACTCAAGGCAGATACCCTCACTAGACTAAGTCTTAAATAGAGGAATAGCATTTTGGCATCTCTCTAATTCTCCCAAATAGGAGCACATTGCATAATTCACATGGGGCAGGTGCTTAGTGAATGCCAAATGTTGTTGATAGAGTGTTACAGAAAACTTAAAATAAAAAAAGTAATGACAAAAAATATGCACTGAACTCTGCTAGACTCACCATATACTACTACTACTATTGCTAAAAACAGGAGCAGCTAACATTTATCACATACTTCTTACAGACCTATAGAAACAGGAGAGAGTGCATTCCTCTGGGTTCTGAAGATGACTAAGCACCTATGTGGATTATCTCACTTCATTTCCATTTTATGGATGAGGAAACAGAGGCCTCCAGAGAATAAGTAATCTGCTCAAGGTCACACAGCCAGGAAATTTTAGAGCTGATGGGTAGACCTAGGCAGTCTGATTCCAGAACCTATTATGTTATTCACCAAGTCGTATTGATCCCTCCCCCTCCAGTGGAAGGAGGTCTGGAGAAAAAATATCTGTTCTGCTGAATACCTAAACAGTACTTTTCATTTCCATAGAAAAAAATCTTTAAGTGAGGAGTCTTGGGCTCCATGCAGGCAGGTACAAGAATATCTGCTTAATGCATAAAAAAGTCAGAAAGAGATATATCAGGTATTTTCCATATGCTTTTTCTCAGATATGAAGAATGGGAGAGCTCTGAAGCATAATAAAGGAAGAATCTTCTATAATCTATTCAGCCTCAGCACCAAGGGATAAGAGGGACTTATCACAGTGAGTCTGTATTCACAAGTAAGGGCCTTCTTTAAAAATTAATTAACAGGAGGGGTGCCTGGGTGGCTCAGCTGGTTAAGCGTCCGACTTCGGCTCAGGTCATTATCTCATGGTTTGTGGGTTCTAGCCCCGCATCGGGCTCTGTGCTGACAGGTAGCAGAGCCTGGAGACTGTTTCGGATTCTGCGTCTTCCTTTCTCTCTCTCTCTCTCAGAAATAAATAAAACATTAAAAAAAAATTAAGTAACAGGGTACTTACTTGGCCAATAGTCTCATTTTTTAATTGCATCATTGAAATGTCCTCTGTATAAGTGGGCATTTAAAACAAATACTTCCAATGAAGCTATATGTGCTGACAGAAAAATAGAGGGAAATACTCAAGATGACATCTGGGCAAAACTATTGCTGCAGTACCTGTGAGGATACAGGTAATATTACATGCACAGGGTAGGGAAGCATAACACGTTGAAAAAAAAAGGGCCATTATCTTCTTTTATAGATACCTCGGTTATTACCCTTTCTTGATTTTCTGAGATAATTGTGGTTATCACAGAAAAAAACACTCTCCTCAGAGATAACCATTTGTAAAGGGTTAAGGACATTGCACATTCTCCTTAACTCTAGTTCTGTTATTGCCATCTATAAAAACTACCTACAGTCTGTTAAAGGCCCTTGAGTGAACACGCACTGGAAAAATCAAAACTGCCTCATTATAATCATTAAGGTTTCAAAAAATTAGTTGGGTTCAACTCTGAAACTCTAGCACCTGCCATGACACACTCCGTCACTGGTTATCTGGCCAGTGCAGCTGAGAGTCCGCAAGCCGCCTGCTATCACCAAAGCAGAGTGGACAGGAAGTATTAATGGCCTTGTTAGACTGACAATAAACAAGGAGTTTGAAACTTCAATTCGTTTAATGGAAAAATGAAGTTACTTTTTGGTAAGTGGAATTTTCAGAATAAATTGCTTCACAGATTCCACAGATCGTAGGCTAAGGCAATGAGACTGTCTAAAGCCTGGAAAGTTGATAAAAAGTACTTAAGTGTAAAGCCAGAGTCCCAGGCCTTTACATTTAAGTCAACAGCCTATAAGGAGGGAAAAGAGAGATTTTAACCTTAACTCCAAACTACAGGGATAGAAAAACCCTGCTGTGGATCAATGGAAGTATTTTCTAAGAACTCATAGGTACTGCAAAATAATCAGAAGATAGGTTAATCTATATGTACTCTAATGGAACCACTCAGGACTGCCTTTAAAGGAAAAAATACCTCCTATGGTTACTATCATCCATGTCAGTTGCTGGCTCTTCCTTAATTTGTTTTCTACCTACAATTTAAACCATTAGATTATATCATGGCAATCAAGGCTCCATAAAACCACAGCAAATGTTTTCTGCCTTAGAGACTACTATGTCTTTACAGGAAAATTTTGCTGAGAGTTTAGAGCAACAACTAGAGAAAAAGCCATGGATGATGAGCTGAGAAGACCAAACCTGTCTCTTAGAAAACAACAGCAGGAACATGGATTAGGATGACTTGGTGTATGGAACAGGAAGATGAATCCTGAAATGTCTCCCCCCTAAATATAAGTCTTGAAAACAATTTTAATATACTTGGGAGGCTTCTAGGAAATGGAAATGACAAAATAGAATGGGCTTCATTCTTTTTTTTTTTTTTTTTTAAACCACATGCCTTATAGTGAGCTCTAGAGAACTAAAGAACACTATCACTTCAACTCACCTCGGGCTTCCTGCAGTTTCTTGAGCTCTGCTTCCCTTTCTGTTTTGCTCTGTTTACTTCGAACCCCAAGGGCACTGATGACTAACCTTCTGGCTAGGGCTGCTGAAGTCTCAGGACGCTCCTTTGCTGGCTGGAGGAACTCTGAATAGGAGAAATGGAGGGGGCAGGAGGAAGTAAGGACGAGAAAGCACTCTAGTGCCAAGTGATTTAATTCCATAATTAACATATAAAATAGACTAACAAGGTCTGCATCAGCAGTAATTAACATAGGCCAATAGATGATCATCAGAGGAAACTAACACGGCAAAGCACAAACAACCCTGGCTTCGTTATCTGTATTAACACAGTTTCTACAGTGACCCAAACAGCTCAACAGTGAGGTAGACCAGACAAGGATGTCAACAAAAAAATGGTGGCTATACTGTTTGGTCAGATCTCCCACTCTCTCTAAGTGGCTACTCAGATGCCATATTGCCAACATAACCTATCCTCTTTTATTCTTTAAGAACATACTACCTGGGGTGCCTGGGTGGCTTCAGCTCAAGTCATGATCTCACAGTTAGTGGGTTCGAGCCCTGCATCGGGCTCTGTGCTGACAGCTAGCTCAGAGCCTGGAGCCTGCTTCGGACTCTGTGTCTCCCTCTCTCTCTCTGACCCTCCCTTGCTCACGCTGCCTCTCTCTCTCAGAAATAAAAAAGAATATACTACCTTTAACACTAAAAATAAAAGTGGTATGTCTTTAGAATTCTAGATGAGGAATAAGTGCTGGAGAGAACAATAATACACTATCAACAAGAAAAGTCCCTGAGAATATAAGCTCACCGGCATAAGCTCTAGCTTTGGCCTTCGCTGCTCTTGTGGCCTGTGACAAGGGCCGGATTTTCAGCATGGTATGTTTACTACCCAGAGCATCCCGAGCTGCAAAGGAGAATAAATGTAAGAAAGAAGAAGATATGAAGAAGAGTGATACAAAGGAAAATTGGGGATAACGACACAAAAAACGGAAAGTGATTTCCTAGAGGTCTAGCTGCTATGCTTTATTTATTTTTTTTCATGGCAATCTGTAGAAAATCCATTAACAACTTGGCAAGTGATTATTTTAGAAAAGGGATCAGCAAACTATGGTTTTGTGACCAAATCCAGCCAACCACTATTTTTGTAACATTTTATTGAAACAGAGCCATTCCTGAATGGTTGAATACTGTTTAGGGATGCTTTTTTATTACAACAGTAGAATTAAGTAGTGACAGAGACCTGACACACTCAATATTTACTATCTGGCCCTTTACAGAGTAAGTTTGCAGACCCCTATTCTAAGTGGTTCAGACAGGATCTCTGAACATCTCTAATTTCTTTGGATGTTTCTGTATCACATCTATCATGAGGCTAATGATATAAGTGAAAAGGCCCAGTCATATATTCAGAAAGCAGGTATTACTTTGTGAGAGTTATTACTTGCAGTGAGAGATTTCTCACTTGAAAGGTTAAAGAGCTACTTCAAATATATTTGTCTAGGGGAAAAACATTACAAAAAACTTAAGATTTAGTCACACTGGTTTCTTAAATTTCTACTTATAGTCTGTTTATGTCCTATCATAACTGACCATAATACAGCAAATAACCCTGGAAGGAGTTGGCTCTCATTCCAAATACCACTAGATTAAAGTGAGAAGGAAGAGATGGAGCACATGGGTACCAAAGCACTATGCCTCAAAAACCTGTTTCTGCCATTTACCTATAACCAGCAGAATAAAATGCCAGTTGGCTAGAGTACAAGGGAAATAAGAACAAGAGCAGGAGAAAAGGGACAATAACAAAAGACTATCGCAATCCAGTGGGTGAGTACCTGTAATTGGACTGGAGAATACTCCTAGGGCATGTGTATCATCCACCCATTTAATATCAAATCCTTTCTTTCTGCAACAAAAGAACACAATTTTATTTCTTAAAATAAAATTTACTTTTATGAAACATCTTTCAAACAGAGTCTCATAAAGCATTTCATGATGAGATAAACACTCAACGAGTACACAGGTGGAATAGGGATAATGACACCAAAAACAGCTTGGAGGACAGAAGAAGCCACTGAATTTTAAAAGCAATAATACCATCATAAAGAACTACCTGGGAGTATTTTATGTTCCCAGCCATTTTACAGACTTCAACTAATTAATCTTCACATGTCCCTTGGGGAGGTAAAGTATTTATCGCACTATTTACAAGAGATGTTCTTATGGGCACAGAACAAGAAGAGGTGAAAAGAAAAAGTAGGGGGTGGGTAGAAGAATATTGGACGAGGAGGTAGGCAGAGAAGGTCACCTGGATTTAATGCAAATGTGGGCTCACAAAGAGATGGAGAGGGAGAGGGAGACAGGTCATTCAAAGCAAGAAGCAAACAAAAAAACCCAAAAACAAAAACAAAAACTAAATAATACAGAAAACTCTAATCAGAGAGGCTGACTATTCTTTCTAGTTGTAGAAAGAAGAAGGGGAAAATAGGAAAGAATTATGGCTAAGTCAGAAAAACTCAGGATAAAAGAAATCAAGATCAGAGAAACATCAGGCAGGATTAGACAGAATCAAAAGACAGACCATTAAGTACTAAAAAACACCTTTATTTTGGGAGCAGAGCTATTAGTGAGCATGACTATCAAAATGATGACATAATTTTTTTCACTTAGGAACTTAAAATTGCTCACAGGTTTAACAGTTCTGTAGAAAGGGTACAGGATTGAGAGTCAGATACAAAAGGACTCAGGGTTCTGCCACGTTGAGACCTTGGGCAGCTTTAACTTCTCTTGAAGCCAGCTCTGCTCATCTGTAGAATGGGAATAGTACCTTCCAAACAGTTATTGTGAAAATGGAAGTGAGATCATCTATGACAAGGCAAAGAGCATGGTGTTGAGCACTTATGGACACTTAACAAATGAATGTTGCTCATTATTTTTATGACTGATAGCGTTATTCATCAGGAAGATTATTAATATTGGTAAAGAGGTGACTAAAATATAAAGTTGATCCAGGTATATGACTCTCAAGACTTTATTAAAGGCTTCTGCACCATGACCTTGACTTTATTTTTATAAAGCACTATAAAGAAAGGAAAAAGACAACAGCTAAAATATCTTCCTTCAGACAAGAAAAAAATTCCTTTGAGGAAAAAAAGGAACGAAGGACGCTTTGAAGGTTAGTTAGAGAATTTCCTGAATGTAAGGGTAAATTTGACCATGGCATAAAATGACCACAGGGGTTGGAGACTGAAAAAGTTCAATAGCGGAAGAGTCTATATAATAAGAGTTTACAAAAAGGTTAGAGAAAGACCTTCGATAGGTGCTGGAGAGCCTTTTAGACTGGAATTTTATAATCCTTTAAAATGCTTCTCCTCTTTTGGGATTGTTTTTAGGTTTGAGAGAAAAATGGACTTGCAGGAAGAATGAGGAAGAAATAAAGCAAAGGGAAATTAATAATTCATAAGAATTAACTAGTCTTTGGGAAACTCTAGCCATCAACAAAACTAATCCTTGGTTTTAAAACTCATCATTCCTAAGAACAATCTAAGGTGGTTCTAATTTGGGATTTAATCTCATCGACAGCTTTTTAAAATCTATTAGGCACTTTATGCAGAACAGGCCCTGATACAGGGTCTTAACATAACGTTAATGAATTAGACTGACCAATCCTATAAACTGAGCGCATGGTCTACAGGAAGATTTAAATGTCCTCCAGGATCCAGTCACCCCCTTATTTCTTTTAGTTATAGAACTGATACCCTCCCTCTATACAAATTTAAGTAAGATACATGGCTGCTAGGTAGTTCTGTCTGTTCTAGAACTTTATTTAAAAAATAGCGTGTTTGTTTTTGGACATAAAATTTCACTGAATACAACCATGCTCATCTGTTTACATGTTGTCTCTGGCTGCTTTTGTGCAATGATGGCAAAGTTGCCTAAAATATTTCCTATCTGACCCTTTAAGAAAAAGTGGGGGACTAAACCCTAACTGATACAGAATCTTAAAAATTCAAGATACATATGCATTTTTTTTTTCAGAGAGGGAGAGAGCATAGCATGCATGAGCAGGAGACGGCAGAGGGTGGGGGAGTGAGAATCTTAAGCAGGCTCCATGCCCAGTGCAGAACTGGACAGGACTCGATCTCACGATCAGAAATTATGACCTGGGCTGAAATCAAGGGTCAGACACTTTACAGACTGAGTTTTAAATTTAAATTTGCAGCATCAGACAACAGGCTTAGTTCATTTTTAATTTTCAGGATTAGAATGTTAAAGTATAATCCTTCTTGGTACTGACTTCTTCAAGATCCTAAAGATCTCTTTCTTAAAAACTCTCTTTCTGGATTGTTTCTTTATTCCTGAAACTTATTTTCTTCTTATGAGGTAAAGGTACAGAGGTATACTTTTGTTTCTTTTACCTTGTCTTATATACGTATAAACTACATACATAACTAGAGTTCGTGCAACTGTTTTCAAAACCCACTTATATCTGTTTTTATTTACATTTTCACTACATAACTTAATAAAATTTAAATAATGAAATATGAGTGTCAAAAAAGAAGAGTTGGTGAGTCTATAAAAACTTAATTGAATGCTTTGGAAGATTAGAGAATGGTGAAGTCAACTAAAAAAATCCAAGAACGATTACCAATTATGTTTGGGCAAAACAGCTGCAAAAGACAGAAACATTTTAACCTATAAGGAATATGCACTCAGATGCCTCTAAAGGTACATTAAAGCTTTTGTTCCACTTCCATTGAACAATTATCAACAGACCAATAACTTAATAGAAAGAAAAGGCTTTAACCGCATCAAAGACTGGCAAGTGTTTATATGTGTTGTTAAAATAAACTAGTTGAGACATATAACAATCATTTTTTATTATTCTCCACTTGACTATTTCTATCTCAGTGGTAAGAATAACCTCCAATCAATACTTTAATTTACAGTGCTGCTGAACTGTTAGGGCCCTCAATGCTTGGAAGAAGAAAACACGTATTCTCCTTTCAGGAGAAATCTTTCTCTTCTACTTCAGACTTCAATTCCCATAAATAAAATTCTAAGGAAAAGAACTGGCTCACAGTAAAAAAAAAAAAAAAAAAAAAAAAACTAATCCTTCGAAAAAGCCAAGACACTATGAGTGAGAATTTGCAGAAGCAGAACTAAAAAGACTTCAGGTAAAGAAATTACCAGACACAGACCACAGATGGTTTATGTTTAACACACTTGAAGAAATTTTTTAAATCTTGAAAATATTTTGGAATAAAAGAAACTAAAGATTTTAAAACAAATAGATAACTTTGAAAAAAAAGAAAAACATAAAATGAAATGTAAACATTCAATGGACAGATTTAATAAAAATTAAACACAGCTAAAGAAAAAATAAGTGAACTGGAAATAAGAGCTAAAGAAACAACTTAGAATGTAACAGAGACAAATATGGAAAATATAAGACAGGTAACAAGAGGATTAAGTGAGAAGGTTGAATATATATTTTCTTGGCATCTTAGAGAAGAGAGACTGGCACAGAGGCAATATGTGAAGAGATAATATGTGTGTTCTCCAAAAAATGAAAAATACTTACTTAACTGATTTAAGAAGCCCAGATAATCTCAAGAATAAAACAAACAAATGAAAAAGCAAAGCCCCATTACATTAAAGTGCACAATACCAAAGACAAAGAGAAACTCCTAAGAGCATCCAAAGAGAAAAGACAGATTACATTCAGAAGTAACAGTTGTTGAACTGTTAGCTGGCTTCTTATTCTCCACAGAGAAAGCCAGGAGACAGCAGAATAAATCTGCGTGTTTCTGAGAGAAAAATGACTGGTCAACCTAGAATTCTACACCTAGCAAAAATGTCTTTGAAAAATGAAGTTGAAATAACTCCATTAAAAAACAACAAAAAACACAACTGAGTTTAACACCAGATTGTTACTAAATTAAGTGCTAAAAAAATATGTTCCATGCAGGAAGAAAAATATTTCAGATGGAAGATACATTCAAGATGTATAAATGAAGAACACAGAATGTGGATAAATCTGAATGCTGAATATATAAAATAGTAACATCAAATGGAGTTTAAAAAGAACAAAAATTAAGAAAATAGTCATAATAGCATATTAGTTGGGAGTGGTGGAAACGAAGGAAATAGAATTGGGAAATGGTATTAAAACCTCTTATGTTTTGAAAGAGTGTAAAAATACTAACTTTAGCCACTGATAAGTTAAGCATGCATTTTGTAATTTCTAAAGTAACCACCAAAGAATAGAAACAAAGTATCATTTCTAACAAAATAGAATGAGAAAAAAATACCTCATCAATCCAAAAGAAGGCAAGAAAGAAGAGAAAAAGATGAAACAAGTAAACACAAAAAAAGATGGCAGGCATACATCCAAATATATCAATAGTTATAATAAATATAAATGGTCTAAGTGCACCATGGAGACATTCAGAAGTCATCACTGAGGACATTCTTAAATGCTAAAATGGGGTCTAGAAAGACTTTGGCATTTTAAAGACCTCAGAAGACTGGCTTGATATAGAAGATTTCTAATGGACTTGGTAAAGACAATAAACAAAACTGATGCTAAAGTAAACATAGGGAATATGCAAACTAAAGAGATGATTTTTCAAAGACATTTTAAGAAAACTTCATCCCACCTTCTCAAATATGCCCAATGGTTTGCAAATACTTACTGATAACTGCAGAAAACTCGCAGGAGGTCTTCAGTACGAAATTCTTGTGGAAAGTCATAAATTTCAATGACATGTGGAAATTCACAATCACTGAGGTCAATATCAGAAACTTCATGGTTGTAATAATCAAATCTAGGTTCCTGGATGCTTTCTCTATTCTTCATATTCCCTGATAGCTAGGAAAGAAGAAGCATATAAGTGGCTATTACCTCAAGACAGAACATTATAAAATATCCTATCATATATAAATACTGCTCCTTGTCTCCATATTCCAGTTCCTTAAACTTTAGCACAGTCTCTGTATTAATGCTGTTCACGAATACAATAACAGCCAGGGGTCTACTATCCAGTTTATATTAACGTGGAAAATTTTAAAAGGTGCTGAAATTCCAACAAAGATAGGCAATGCATGAAGCTTCAGTTGCATCTATCAACCAGAGTGTGAGAAAATGTAGAATGATTAATGTGGTCAGTTACAAATGGTACATCTTAGAAAATGAATTTCAGAAAATAGGTGAAGAGATGAATTAATAACATTTGTTTTATTTGAGCTTATTGATCAGGCTCATCTCATAGTTTCTTTTATGGGAGTGAACAAAACAGAAATTTAAAAAATGAAAACATTTTGTTAGTCCACCTTTTGTTGAATGTAGTTTACAAAGGAATTTGTTAAGACAAATATAAGTGGCAGAATTATAAGGTCTTCAGTACGATGGCTACCTACAGAAATTCCCACAGAGCAGGTTAGTACAAAAAATTAATAGTAATGGAAAATACTTAAAATTCTACTATAACATGAGAAAACTGAAGGCTATTATCTACTGCACACTAAAGACAGAAGGGAAGGGGAGAAAATGTATTTTATCATTCACCTGCTATAAACCTAGTTGCTAGTACCACCCAAAGCCTTCAGACCTGAGAGTGTCTTCTGTTAGTCAAAAGTCCAACTAGTCCAACTAGATCCCTTCAAGCCTTTCCTTCATTCATACTGTGCCTCACTGTCCATTAAATGAGGAAATGAGAAGTTGCAATGCCACAGACACCTCTCCTTTCCTTGCAGAAATGAAAAAAGATGCAAGAATTTTACTCAGGAAGGAGGAGAAAGGAAAGGTGATTTAGGTAAAATCAGCAAAAATGTTTATTTATTGTTGTGCCTTTAGTACCTTTTCTCCACAGAGCTTTAGTTTACATCTAAAAAAAAATAGGAATAATAATAGCACCTATACTTCACAGACAGGTGTGTGGATTAAATGAGATGATTTTTTTAAGTGCTCAGCACACCAAGCATAATACTTATATACCTAAGTATTCAATGAATTCAACCTACTTACAGAAATTTTAACTAAGTGCTGGATCTATTACGAGATAAGCACCACCATCTTACTTCCACTCTGTTTAGGATACAGAAAGCAAAAAAAAAAAAAAAAAAAANNNNAAAAAAAGGATACAGAAAGCAAGAAGAGAATATTCCTTCCACCATAACAATGAGAAAAGATGAATCTACAGTTGAATTCACCACACAGCTGATTGTGCAAGACAATCAAAAATACCCAGAAATCCACAGAGTAACAAATTGCTCTAAAGAGAAACAACACAGAAACTGGTTCGTCTCTGGCATAGCATGGGAAGAAGCAGGCACCACAAAAGTGGGCAAGAAATCAGCTAAATGTTAACAAATTCTTAAAAGCCTAAAGTGGGCTGGTCTGTCATTTTAAAATAACTCTGAGCCCCAGACACAGGGAAGGTCTACAAGCATTTCCAAGTCCTTCCTTATGCCAATGCCCCACTGTCTTGATTAATGCAGTTTTATAATAGGTTTTTGAAATCAGAGAGTTTGAGTCTTCCTATTTTGTCTGCCTTTTCAATATCATTTTTGGCTATTCTGGGTTCCCTGGATTTCCATATAAATTTGAGGACCTGCTTGTCAATTTCTGCCAAAAGAAAAAAAAAAGAAAAGAAACAGGAGAACTTGGATTTGTTGAATATGTATATCAACTTAAGAAGTACCTAAACAATATTAAGAAAAGATGAACATGGGATACTTTCATTTATTCAGATCTTTAATTTCTTCCAACAGCATTCTATAGTTTTTGGAGTACATGTTTTATATACTTCTTTTGTTAAATTTACTCTTAGTTTTTAAATGCAACTATAAATGAAATTTTCTTAATTTCATTTTTGGATTTCTGGCATTGACTTCTTGAGTTACTTAGCAAAAAACAAATCACTGGGTGTCTGTGCATTTATAAATTGGGGCTATATAATGTGTTATGAGAGGTAAAACAATGCATGACTACGAAACACCTAGGAATTACAAATTCTAAGAAATGATTATAAACAGGAAGGAAAAGAGGCAGGATGGTCTGGCAGGAACATCTGATTATGGTCCTTTGCTCTAACCTAGTCAGCAAAATTGAACTATATACTCATATCCCATTTCTGAGGTAACTATTAACTGTTTTGGCTTCTGGGACTGGTTAATGCAAAGTGTTAGTATAGGAAAACATATGATTCTTACTCTACATCTATTACCACAAGATATAAAGCCTACAAGTTATACACTCCTGACTAGATTTCCTATCAGACACGACTGTTATCAAGGATTCCTGACTTTGCCAAAGAGGAGGAAGAACTTAATTTCATTTCCCCATAGTCCTGACATTGGTGAGATCTACTGGTAACACATTTTTTGAGGGTGTATGGTGGTCGGTAGGAGGCCATACTGTTAACAGCACTTTCTTCCCTGAGAATCTCAGCAAAACATGACAGGGAGACTTGACAGAGTAAAAGAGAAAGGATTATGTGGCAACGAAGAAGGAAATGTCTAAGAGAGAACAATATGGAATGAAGTGAGGATCAGAGCAAGACTATGAAGGAAGTGAGGGATTAGACAAGGCAACATAGATAGCTTTAAGGAAAGGCTCTAAGATTTCAGGCATGAATTATGTAGATACTTCTGCAGAAGACCTGTACTGTCCAACATGGTAGCTGCCAGCCACACGTGGCCCTGAGTGCTTGAAAACTGTGGCTACTCCACACTGGATGGGTTTTGTGTATAAAATACACATCAGATTTCAAAGACTTAATACAAAAAAAGTAAAATATCTCATCAGTAATTTCTTATATTGATTACATGTTGAAATGATAATCCCGATAGATTTAAAAATATATCATTAATTTCACCTCTTTCTTTTGACTTTTCTTAATGTAACTACTAGAAAATTTTTAATTATAAATAAGGTTCATATTCATAGCTTGGGTCATATTTCTATGACAACTGATCTATGATTTCAGACAACTGAAACATTTTCTCTAACAGTCACATCTACTGAGGCAATTACAACTATACTGTCAACGTATATGTCAAACCTTCATATTGTAAAACCTGCATATTTTTTTTTCTTTTTCATGGCTCTGTAAAGTTTGATAGAACAATCGAGGGAGAGGTTTTGAATTGATTCATTGTGATCTATTAGACCAACGAAAAGTTTGCAAACAACTCAGAGCAAACAATCTGAGTTATGAATCACAAACACCTTGGAATTTTTACCAGTGGTCTGTCTTGTTTATTTCTAAAGAGTAAGTTAAATCTGAGTATTCCTTCATATGCATAACCAGCTTCCACAAAACCATTCAGCTAAATTAAAATTATCCTCCTCAAAGTGAGAGTTTCAAGACTCACAGCCTAGTAGTCCGGTCTTGAAATCAAGTCTATAAAATAGTACCTGACCTGCTATGACTTAGTTGCCCTGATACCTATTTGTAGAGAAAAAGGGTGAGGCGAGCAGAAGGTCAATTAGGCATGGATCACTGAGCTTTTTAATTTTTGGTGTTTTTTGTCTGATCCTTGGTTCTTAAAGACACAAAAAGAAAAAAAGTTCTAAAATCACAAGCCAATTACTCTCTACAGACAAAAAAATAAAAATATGCTACATTATTCTGGAATAAAGTCATGTTTATATCTCTGTCAGATGAGCATGTCAGACAGGCTGCTATTATTATCCTGATCACAATGATGGAGGACTACATCACAGACTAAAGGATATCCCTAAGATTACAAATCAAATTACTGACAGTGTAAGTCATAACTCAGGTCTCTTGACTGCTAGTGTAGTATTCCTTCCAGAATATGGTGGAAAGGTCTTACGGTGAACACAATCAGAAACAGTGCTGTATTAATTAATGTTCAGGACGAGTTCCCTCTGATTAAGAATTTATGGATATAAACTATTCTAAGAAATAAGGGAAGGGGAAAAGGAGAAAAGGAAGGAGTGAGGAAGGGAGGATCAATGGCAAAGCTGAAAAGATAATTCAGCGTTGATTTTTCTTTTTTTTTAATTTATTTCTAGGAGAGAGAGAGAGAGAGAGACAGGGGAGGGTCAGAGAGAGAGGGAGACACAGACTCCGAAACAGGCCCCAGGCTCTGAGCTGGCAGTCAGCACAGAGCCCGACGCGGGGCTCGAACCCACGAACCGCGAGATCATGACCCAAGCGAAAGTCGGACGCTCAACCGACTAAGCCACCCAGGCGCCCCGATTTTTCTTTTTTTTAACAAAAGTTTATTTCTCTATTCTGAGAGAGAGAGAGACAGCACAAGTGGGGGAGGGTCAGAGAGAGAGAGGAGAAAGAGAATACCAAGCAGGCTCTGCATTGCCAGTACAGAGCCCGACACAGGGCTTGAACCCATGAAACCGTGAGATCATGACTGGAGCTGAAATCCAGGCACCCCCAGGGTTGATTTTTCTAGTGGTATATTCTAGATAGCATATAGAGCATAGAATAAACCTCCCAAAACACTGCTTTCATCATGTCATTCCTTTGACCAAAACTTTTCAGTGGCTGTACTTAAAGCTCCCATAATTTAGCCCCAACCTACCTATGGTAGGCAGAATAATGTCCTCTCAGAGATATCCATGTCCCATCCCCTTAATCTGTGGTTATGGTGCACGCCAAAGGAGAACTAAGGTAGCAGACAGAATTAAGATTGTTAATCAGATGACTTTAAATTAGGGAGATTATCTTGGATTATCTGGGTGGACCCAGTTATAATCACAAGAGTCCTTAAAAGCAGAAGAATCCAGAGGAGAATAGACAGTGAGTCAGAGCGATGAGATATTAGAAAGACTCAACTGATCTCTGCTGGCTTTGAAAGTGGGCCAAGAATGTAGGCAGCCTC